TGAAATTACTGTTTCAGTATATATATTTTATTATATAAATAATAGTTATCAAGTCTTACATAAAATTATTAATATTAAATTTTCAAAGGATACAATTTTTAATTATAAATTTATTATTCAAAGGACACTTCAAAAACCCTTTTTACTTATCAAAACTTTATCACAATTTTATCTCCTTTTCACATCTGGCAACATTTATTTTCTAGTCATAATTGTCTTTTTGTTTTACATAAGATGATTAATATTAGATTTTCACAGGGTATACAATCTGTCAATATAAATTCATTAATGTGGCCATACATTCGAATACAAGAAAATCATGGAAGCGTTATCAGCACATATAAACAAATCAGAAGATTTACAATATTTAAGAGAATTTTCAAAAATAGTTTTAAAAAAAGATATGATTCTTGAAATAATTGAATTAAAATTGAAGATATGACAGGAAAATGGACGAAGTGACCCGAACGTTGTCAGATGTAAAAAGAAGAAAAAAGTGGAATCAAGTTTTGTTAAGTAAGAAGGGTTTTTCGAAGTGTTCCTCGAAATAATAAAATTATATTATATAGTCATTAAGTTTTATAGATATATTATAAAAACATTGAGAAAGATATTAAATATTTTGAAAAACAAGCGCCTGCCTATACTATTTAAAAATAATTATTTTGAATGTGATAGGATTCAAAAGAGGAGTGGCAGATCTTGATTATGTGGAGTGTAAAAAGTTTGTGCGCTTTTGGTTCACATTAAGTTAGATGCTAGTGCCGCCAAAAGAATTTTTTATGGGGCACATTTTTACGGGATTAAGGCATGTGATTTTTTGAGGGGAGCATTTTTTTTTTCAATTGAAGAGAACTTTCAAACAGAGCGTATAGGCCGTTACCGATTGCTAACTATCGACACGACATTTATAAATATTATTTGTCGATATTACCATATTTTCAGGCCGTTACTTTTATTTTCATTTTACAAAAAATTATAAATAGTAAATTATGACTAGAAATTATTTCCTTTTTGTGTAAATTAAACTTAATTAATACAAAATTAAAATATTTTCTACTCATAATTTACTATTTATAATTTTGTGTAAAATGAAAATAAAAGTAACGGCCTGATATAATATCGACAAATAATATTTATAAACGTCGTGTCGATAGTTTTCAATCGGTCTAACATAGATGAAAAAGCTAAAATACAATTTTTACGATTTGACTATCATTTTTATCGTATTTAAGAAGAGAAGAGCAAAACGTTTTCTTGGGAGATGGTGGGGAGGAAAGCATGAGGCGTCACTCATGGAGGGGATGGCGACCACTGCATCAAGTAGCTCATCAAGATGGCTTTTTGGACTTACGGAGCTTACCATCGAAAAGCAGCCCTCTGTTATGTATTACATGTAAAATTGTCCAGAAAGACCTTAATGTTTTCCATGTATCTAGATCTAATATTGTTGTATTCATATGGGAAATAATTGGAGGAAGGAGGGAGACGAATGTTGGTGATAACAGTGTCCAATGCATGAAACAAGGAAGGATAGATAGAAGGCATGCGTAAAAGAATAGCTCAGTAACTCTCGCAATTTCTCACAGGTCATGGGGGCTTTCGAGCAAAGCTTCATTGCCATGGGATGGACAACGACCCCTTATGCTCTAGCTGCTGTGTTTCATAGACTGCTGAGCACATCATAGTCGACTGCACCGCCTTTGACGAACTAAGGGCTAAGTTACTGAGGGAAACCTACATTCTCACAGAGAACGATTTTTCTCACTTAGTCACTGCGGAAAACTACCCGTGCTAGATTTGTACTGGTGGAAAGCCGCGGTGGGGCCAGACCATTTCAATCTAGGAAGAAGAGGAGGAGCTACTAGACCATTGGTATGAAAAGTATAAAAAATTCACTCAAGAAAACCAATGAAATGAAGAAAGAGCAGAAGACCAAGATTTACTTGTAGCAGTGAGATTGCGAATATCAAACGCATCCAATCCTTCCAGTCCAAAGTCCTTCGAACAATAGTCAATGCTCCATATTATGTCACGAACAAGACCCTACACCATGACCTTAACATCCCATATGTCCATGACATCATCCCATCCAGATTCTCCAACTTTCACCAGAACCTCATTCATCATCCCAATCCTCTAGCGCAATCCCTATCCAGCTCCGAACATCCATACCATCCCCCTCGAAGGTTGAAACGGCAGTGGCCTCGAGATCTTTTGTAAATATGCCTTTGGAGTCCTGGCAATGGCCAGCTTCTCCACTCATGTCCTGAGCGTCTGTGGCTCTAGTGCCCTCTTTCAGTCTCCATTGGTTTCTAATACTAGTGATGCGGCTGGAAAAGTGGAGCTGGGGTCTTCCGGAGTCTTGCTTCGCCTTCCACGTGTGGGGGGAAAAAGCCTGGCTCGGAGATTCTTGGGCGAATGTATATATTGTATATAGTATGATTGTGTTTAGAAGTTTTATTTTATTTTATTTGTTTATTTTATTTTTATTTACCTTCTTCGCCAGTATTATTTATTTACTTATTATATTTATATTTCTTTCTTTATTATTTGTATATATTGTAGGAATGAGAACTTGTAGCCCTAATGCTTATAGCCCTCCAGCAGTGGCTGATTGTATTATTATTCAATAAACAGATTAAAATAAAAAAAGCAGTGAGATGTTAAGCTGACCTGCCTAACATCTTACTATTGCAGACACCGGTATTGCCTACTAGGCACGGCAGGGTTTTAAATAAATAATAACAAGTTTATTAATTTAAATTTAATATAACTATTTTATTGAAACTTTTGTCTAATATTTAAAGTGAATTAATTCAAAAATACTGAAGGGCTTCATAAAATATTGGAGGAGGCCGAAAGTATTTTCCCCCCAGTGCCGGCGCCTACGATTGTGCTTACAAAGATTACTTTCTTTACAATCTTCTGAATTGTTATTTAGAAGTTATTGCTTCACTTATCTTCTTAATTAAGTTATAAATGTCAATGATCGTATTTAATAAATAAAGTTTGTTAAAACTTTTAAGGAATCTGTTCAGTTTTGAAACCTTATGAAAAATGTCTTAAATATTATTTCTGAAATATATATTCCTTTTCCGGCTTTCAGGAGTGAAGGATTTAGACGAATGAGGTATAAATAGAAAGGGAATGTCAGATAGAATGTACAAATCGTAATTTTATCCTGGGTTTAAATAAAAGTGAATGTAAAAGTGGGAAGCTTCAAACCGTATGATGGTGTTCTCTAAACGAATCGAGACGTTACAAATTCATAATTTGCGAATAACTCGAAAATTAAGCATTGGCCATTATACTGCGAATATTTTAAAACTTATTAAATTCCCAACGAAATGTAAAAAAAAAAAATCATCAAAATAGGACGATTTGTTGTAGAGTTATAGCGTTCTGAACATTTGGTATTTATTATACTGCAAAGAATCTGTTGTATATAGAAACATAAGATTTTGACTCCTTTTCTCCGGTATCAATTAATAATTATTTTTTTAATTTAAAATATTTTATTCTTTTAATTATCTGGCTCATTTTTTTTTTAATTATATAAATGTCTCTTCCTATAAACATTTTTTTGGAATGTCTGTCAATGGGCTTCAATTACATTAGCAATGTTTAGAAACTTTTGTTAATTTGTGATAATCTAATGAAGGAAAAAGTTAATATTTAAATTATAAGTTTAAGGAAATGCAATGGCTAAACCATGTCAGATTGTAAATCATATTTATAAACTGATGGCTTACTAAATATATGTTTCAAACCTTTGCCTACCAAACATTATTGAATGGAAGTTGCTGAGTGCCCTTAATGTATTAAAATCAGAAACAAGTATAAGCTTTGTGCGAAGTATTCGCTAGTGTTATATTAATTACAATAAACCTCTTATTCAACAACAATCATAATTTTATATAAATATAAAATTTATATAAAATTTACCTTTATTTTTTATTTGCCTTTATTTTTCAATTACTATCATTAAGCTATTTGTAGTGTTACGAGTGTTAATATGGGTTTGTTTATGTTTCCATTTGTTGAGCCCATTTGATAAGCTTAATGGTTTTTGATTGGAAATATGGAATCTCTGGCATTTTGTTTGACAACAAATACCCAGACAGGTAACAGGTGGGATGTCAACGTTCTAATGTAATTGTACCAGTTTACCGAAGTAACCCCGATACAAATGGTACTGTCATATAATTTGTCTAATATTATGGCTATTACTTTTTGAACAATTCGAGCTTATGAATATTTTAAAATGTATTTATAATAAAGTACTCAGATTTAATAATAATAATAATTTGAATATATATAGCTTCTTAGTCCTTTTAACAAAGTGCTCTTTTCACTTAAATATTGAGCACTTATGTATTAAAATCTTTGTTGTGTATAAGTTGGTAGTTTGTATAAAAGTTGGTAGCTTTATATATACCTAATATTATATATTTACGTGATTATATCGATATTCGGAAGAAATGAAATATTTTTTAGCATATTTGGCAAGATTTCTAATATAATTTTAAATTTCGTTTCTTTTCTTTTTGTTAATTGGTATATATATATATATATATATATATATATATAAAACTTTAATATATACTCACACTTTCCGGTGCGTGAATCATTTGATAATTTTTTTTACATTAGATGTTATGCCCCAAGTGCTTTTTCGCACTTATTTTATATTATAATATATATATATATATATATATATATATATATATATATATATGTTTTTTGTTATTTCCAAGTATTATTAAAGAATATAATACGTCTCTGGTTCATTTCATATATTAATTTGATTTAAATAAGTAAATATTTCAGGAAAATGCTGTAATCGTTTAGTAAAGTTGCTAATTCCTATGGTTATAGGTATCTATCAATTGTCTGTATTGTTATATTCTTCTTTTTTCTAATAGTATAATTTCGTAATATATTTTTTAACGTAATTCTATATAAATGTTTAAAAAAAAAATAATATTAAGTAGTACCTCTCTGAAGGTTTTCCATTCTTTTCAATACCGTTCTTCTTCTCTTCTGGTTTCCCATTTTCGATTTGAGTTTTCCCGCTTTCAACATCAACTTCCCCATTTTCGATAACAGTTTTCCCCTTCTCGGCTTCAGTTTCCACTTTTCCGACATCAGTTTTCCCGTTTTCGATATCAATGTTTTCCTTCTCAACTTCAGTTTCCAATTTTTCGATAACAGCTTTCCCGTTTTCGTTATCAGTTTTTCCCTTCTCAACTTCAATTTCCACTTCATCGACTTCAGCTTTCCCATTTTCCTCCATTATCGAGCTCGATTTGGCAGAGTATCGTCCACTTGGAAGAGAATATAGTAGACCACTACTGGATAGACCCGGACCGGGCGATCTACTAACTCCGTTCCGATCACTCCCTACTCTTTGTTCTGGTAGCTTCTCCCTCCCAGGCCTAAGTGGAAGTGGAAAGACGAAACCGAAAGGATGCAAGTTGCCATAGCGGTCGTCCTTGGCCACAATAATGTACAGACATGTCTACGTGCAATTAGCTTCCAGGTACCAGAAGGATCTTGGATAATCATGCATAAAACAATAAACAAAATCAAAGAGATAAAAAAACACCTTAATATCACTACCTATTATGGCTTGCAGTGAAGTCGGGGAAAGATTACTGGAGAAACATCCTCAAAATCTCTTGAATTTGTTGCTGGTTTTTAGTCGATTTCAGAGATAGTGAGACTTTAAAACAACTTTTTATTTTATTTTTTATTTAAACACAATTAGTATCGATAAAATCCCAATTTCTTAATTTATAGCCCTAACTTATTTCTTGAGATATAGCGGTATATACCCTTTTTTTTATCACATTATTAATACTCGTCTAAAAGTTAATCAATGGCTTCAATTTATCGTTAACTAAGACTATTTTATTACCAAAATTCTCGAAATTGGGACGTTTTCCAAAAAAATGTTTTTAAATAAAACTATATATGGTCTACTTAATTATACATTAATTTATAATTACAATTGTAATTAATGGTTGGTCAAATTCGACAAAGTTTTAGTATAATAAACATCTAAAATTATTAAGTGAGAACTAACTAGGCAGATCTGTCAGCAAAAGCTATAGAATAAGGATTATCCTATCTTTTATAACAGGAGCCAGGAGCATTTATGGATATCGCTTGAGAACTCGAGTGTGTACGTACCAGAATCTTCTCTTCAAAATCAAGACTATACTGCCACGCATTCAATCTTACCTCTGGGTTTACATAGCTTTTTGGCGTGACCTCCACCCTCAATTTGTCAAAATAACGAGGTTACATTGGCCAAACGGCCCAATATTTTTGCATGCCACCTATTTTATCGATTTTATGGTCAAATTATCTGACGATTCCAGTGGAAAGCAAATGAGTTTCATGGGCTTTTATTAACTCATTAAATAAACAAATTAAACCGATCTCCAGATTGAAATTTTTTTCCAGTAATTTTCGTAAACAAAAAAGTTGTTGATGTTAAGATGAAGCCATCCAACCGGATATATATATATACATATATATATATATATATATATATATATATATATATATATATATATATATATATATATATATATATGTATATGTATAATTAGTATTTCTTTCTTTCCTCTAGTATAAATAAATTGAAATATCTAATTTTATTTATAATAATATTCGTTTGAACATGGATAAAAGTCTTATCGGAATCAATTGGTGTTTAGAACTTGATCGTAAATCATTGACGTCTTAAGTGGTTTTAGGCTTCCGATCCACTGGCAGTTGAAAGAGAAAAATGATCGTCGACTTTTCCAAGGGCAATAGTTGAAAACCAAAATAAGAACTTTACTCGTTGTTTTCTATGTTCTTCGTATGCTGCTTATTATCTTAAATTATGATTCAATCTAAAAATATACAGATCCTTTATTTCCAGAAATATATATATATATATATTTACGAACACTGAAGCAAGAAGAAGCAAGGCTAGAAACGCGAGGATTGGGATGGTTCTGAAATTTATTGTGGAAGGATAGGTACCTGGATTTGACCAAATCGGAAACATGAGGAACATTAAGGATTTTGAAATAATAATTGGGGTGGCCGAATGGGCTAACTCGTTGTGCACAGCAACATGACATATGAGACAACTATGAAAAATAGTTCCGAGTTCGCATCCCGGTGCCGGGGGAGTCTTTTAAATCCCCGCCCACACTACCTGGCTTGGGAGAACCCGGCATAGCCTTAAATTCGAGAAAGGGAAGGACCAAAAAAAAAAAAATCCTAATAAACTGACATAACTGATCATTGGGGTTTTTAGGTAGTCAGGAAAAATCAGAACAATATTTTCTGAGTTCAATTAAATATTCCTAATTTACTGGACTCCACACAGAGTCAACAAGTTTTATACTGTTGGCTTCATCATAGTGAAGCCTAAAATTAATCTGGGTTTGCTCAAGCTGGGTTTTCTGCAAACAGAAAGGAATAATTTTAGACCGGCGAAGCTTGAGGGCATGGAACATTCAATCAATACGGTCATGTCTGATAGACTTTATCTTGACAGTCTGTTAGACATAATGTGTCAAACAGGAAGATAACAATGCCATATTTACTGTAATACTAATTTTCATCAATTAAATGTTCCTAACGATGAAAAATAAAACAAAATAATTAATATAACTTAATTAATATATTTAAAAAAAAGTTCTCTTAGAATACGATTATAATCTCTCAATCGGTCACTACTTAGTTCTTCAATGTTCTCCCTACTTAGGCTTCTGTAGTAATTTAGTTATTTTATTTTTATAATAATTAGAGAAATATTTGTCAACACTTCTTATCTTTTTTAAAATTTATTATTTTATATATTCAATGTTTCGGGAGTATTTCTGAAGACAGTGGAAATAACACCGAAACATTGAAGATTTAAAATAATATATTTAAAACAAAAATAAAAGAAAAAGTGTTGACAAGTATTTAAGATAAAATCTCAAATATCATATAAAGATAAATCTTAAATCAACACCAAATGGCATCTGTGGTTGAACGAATTAAGGCGCCAGCAAAAATTTTATATCAAGTGTTCAAATCCCGTTAGCGGAATTTAATAACTAAAAAAAAAATGTAAAATAAAATAGTCAACAATAAATTACAATTAATAAGAGCAGACCCTACTCGATTGCTTAGGCCACTATGGCGCTGGTTCAATTTCTGCCTGGGGCGGTAACGTACGTCTCTTCCACCCAGAGATTAGTAGGGATGTGAGCGATCTCTGAAGAATCACTTCAGCTATAGCTCCTAGTCCTCCAGGTTAAGGGTTGGGTATAAGACTGATAATCCCCTATCCCATACTGATAATTCCTTACCCATACAGGATGGAGATTCCTGCAAAAGGTTGCCAACCATCCTTAAGGAAAGTACCTGATGAAGAGGGAGTGAATTGTGATCGCGTCCGGTAATTGTAAAAAAACACATGCTCCCTGGATATTATAATAACGAACACTGCTGTCGCCTATAACAATTCCAAAAATCTGCTATAAGACTCATAGCGAAAAGTGGACGTTAAGGGGCGTAAGAAAAAAACATCAACACCTTAAGAAGACTAACCAAATACGGAAGGTACATCACTATACAGACCTGCCCCAAACGGCCAGTACCATGTTTTCTCATGTTTACCTAAAATGATAGTTTAGTTGTTTTATCGTTTTTATATCCTACCTAAAAACAATATATATATATTTCATATAATATATAAGTATTAGGAAATCAAAATAAATTTAAGTGCAATAACAAAATTTAAAACTGCGGAATTTTCAATATGAAATTTTTTTAGGTAAGAAAAAATTTGTAAATAATAAGAAATACATTATTCGAATGTCGGTGTCCTTTTTTAGGAATAGTATATATTAATTTTAAGTATATAACAAATATACAGGTACACACCTTTGCACTTCCTCCACTGCCGCCTAAATCCTGATTCTCTAGAGCCACATTGTAATATTTTGAACAGCATCTGATGCTGATGTGAGAATTTAATTTTTCCCGGTTAACTCCTTTTAACATCATAATATATTATTTTTTTTTATTTCTTTATGACATTTACAATTGTATTACATAAATACAATCAAGTAAATATATTAAATTTAAATTTAAAAAATTGAAAAAGAGAATATTTCAGAAAATAAAATGTCCAAAACATGTGATAGATCTTGTACACAGTCGATGCAGACAGCTGCATTTGGTGGGCAACAGCATCGAACTATCGTGTTCGGTTAAACCTTTCATTAGGAAAACTCCAGCTAATGTAATGGGCATATGTTCGAATAACATACTCCTAGTCACTCGCCGGCACAATTATATAAGCCATTCAATTATAATTCTTCGAATAGCCGAATTGCTGGAGATGAATAAGTATAGATGCTCTCTCGAATCCTATGTGGGAAAGGTTCAGCAAGGTTCGTGGTTTTCATAGCTTCATTGGGACACCACCATATGTACAAAGTCTGAGTATTACTTTATTAATTGTAGGGACAGAATAGAAAAAAAAAAGTCGTAACATTCGGATTTTAGGATGATTATCTGTTCAATCATTATCCTTTTTGTGACTTTTTCTTAAGTATTATGGAACAGAAAGATGGTAATGATGTGTTTCATATAGCAACTCAAAATAGCAACCTTACAATTTTAATGTACTTCTACTCAAGTATGTAAAACATGTAAAGCATTTGAACAACTCCGTTGCGAACAGCGAAATTTTTCACTTTAGTTTTTACGGTTTTATCTTTCCTGACAGGTCTTTTTCAATCGTGTAGAACCCAGATATATCTCTTATATGACCCACTCCTTGGCAGGAGCACAAAAACAGCTGTTTGCCCAGACTTCATGGCATGATAGTTTGATCAATACAGCGATTTATGATCCGTTTTATCTGGACAGTCTTATCCTTGAGATGATGAATCTATATCAATGAGTAGAAAAAAAATAACACTTGCCAAATTTCTCAGGGCTCAGATCAGGGCTAATATTAAAGCGGTCGGTAACTCGTGTCTAGGAAAAAAAGAAAATAAGAATAACAAACCGTGGTTTGATGAAGATTGCTTAAACATGTGCGAAAACAGAAAAGCCGCTAAATTAAAAGCTCTAAATAATCCTAGCGAAGACAATCTGAAATACTTCCGAACCTCAAAGAACGAAACGACAAAATTGCTCAAAAATAAAAAAAGGGAGTATCTTAAAAATAAAATAATTGAAATAGAAACTAATAGAATCGAAAATAACGTAAGAGACATGTACAAAGGTATAAACAGATCACGTAAATATGTAGGGCCCGTAACGTCTGGAATTAGGGATGATAATAACAATATTCTGACCGATCCTGTTGACATATTGAATAAGTTTTATTTTTATTTCTTTATGACATTTACAACTGTATTATATAAATACATCAAGTAAATTTGGACATAATTGATATAATGACATGAATACACTTGCTGAGTAACAAGTAACCCAATGGTAGCACTCTAAGAATAAGTTTAAGGACCACTTTGACAATATTTTAAATACGGGAAATTA